GATGAGCAGTGCGGCGAGCTCCCCGCACCATAATTACAAGTGCTGTGATTACCATGATTGTCCCAGGCGCTGAATGCCCAAATGCAAGCGAAATCGGATCACCGCTAGTTGCATCCTATCAAGCTAGAGATGGTGAAGCGAGGAATGAAAACCCACCTCCTGCAGATGCATCTATAGAGTAGGCCGTCGTTGCCACGCCCTTGTCGTTCCTAGCTGAGGCCAAGTCATTGCTCTTCCTTGCCGATGACAACGCAGACATCTCGGGCGACACCGGCGACGAGGATGCTGGTGGCCGGTGCTGAAGAAGGACCGATGGGGATGGGGGACGAGATCAAGGACACCGGGGACATATGCTGGAGATGGATTTTGCCGCGCAGTACATCCCGTGCGCACCCAATGCAGAGACCACGAGCGCCCGCGTAGGATCTGAGCACGCCGTCGACTCAAGGGGGCAAGGTCGTACAGTGCAACTGACCCCGTCGCTTGGGCCTCGGAGCACTGGCCTTCATCGTCGCTTCGCGAGACGACAGGGAGACCATCTCTAAGCAGAGCGGAGGGGATTTTTGTAAACTTGCCAAAATAGAAACGGGAAAGGACGACCGTTGTACGTGCCCTTAGAGGAGTGTAGTCCGGCGCAGTTGGTGCGTGTCTTTGGCTGGATTTGTTGGAGGCCCAAGCGCGGTCCCTGGCAGCACAGATCTGGGGTCCTCCTGAACTCCACTCTCAGGATCTGCAAGCAAAGAGCAGGGAGTGGTGCATCTTGAAGGCTCGATATACGGAACGAAAGAATGTAGGGGGGAGGGACGACGTACAGAGCGAGGAGACGCACCCGAGGCGGCCGAAGGTCAAATATAAATTTTCTGCAGAAAAAAGGCTAAATAGTAATAAATTAGGGCCCGAAGAAGAGAAGGTGAGGCAGAGAGAAGAGCTGAGTGATTTCTTTAGTCACCGCGTGCTGCGGCCAGTGGAGCGCACGTTAGAGCGACAGAGCGGCAGCTGCTCTTAGGCGGTTTAGGAGGCTGATATGCGGGCCAGGCGTCGTATCTGACGGTGGGCCATGCTGGGTAGGCTGGGCGTAGAAGAAGGGGCCTGGATGTCTATGCTGGTCATCTGGAGGCAGGGGACGGTGCGTGGCTGCCAGTGGACCCGGCGTACCTGGGCCAATTGCTGGTCGACAGCGAGCTGAACTAGCCAGTGTTGAATGGACAAGCACGAACGGGTGGGGACTGTGGAAGGGCGATGGGGAAAGGAAAAGCTGCAGTATGGACGGTATCCGAGTTCTATCAGGAAGACGAATTCTGTTACTGAGCACACGTATAAGATGGATTCCATGCTAATTAAAATAGCCAGAGTTTCCTAACTGAAAGAGATGGACAGATTCCAGTCAAACAACGCTCTACAAAAGCAACTCCCAGGCGCATTGATCTTTCTAGGAGCATGCTATGAGAAGAGTTTTAAAGCCGGCTGAAGCTGTTATTAAGAGAGAAAAATACTGTAGATTCTAGTTGATAAGCCGGCTGATAAGTTCAAGCGAACAGCCGATTGCTAATGAGATGCAGGGGAAGCCTATTCCTTGACAGAGTTCCCAGTCTGTTTGGGAAGAAGAGGCATGGCGTTGTCTTAAGATTCAAGAAGACATAGCAGCTCTGCACGCAGTTTCGTTTAAGAGTCTTTGAGAGGCTGCAGCAGGCCGAAGCTGGATCTATCTTGCTACTGCTCTGAATCATCTCCTGACGGCTTTTCTTTCTCGGGGATGCCATCTGCTTGGGTGGAAGGAGTGGAAGCACCATTGAAGCCTCCTGGCACACAGAGTCAAATGAAGACAAGAACTGATGGAGCGCCATCTTCTTTGCACTGATCTCATTTTTTAGTTTTTTAGCTTTGTCTTCGATAAAGATGGCAACGGGGCGGATTCGGATCGGGTGGAGTCTCCGCGAAACCAAAACCGAAACCCGAAAGTAAAACCCGAATCCGTCCCGAATCCCGATTCGGGTGAAAATCCATCCCCGAAACCGAAACCCGCGGATCCCCAAAACCCGACGGATTAATCGAAATCCGAGAAAATTACAACAGATCAACAGACAGAGCAATACAAAACATGATATATTAGCATAATAGCTTGTTGATTCCAAAAGTACTAGCAAGTAGAAGCAGGCTACTAGGTAGCCGATAGCCATGTCCAGATTCTAGAACTAGAAACATCAAGCATGCAAGTTCAGTACAGCACTACTACAGCAGTACAGCTCACATATTACAGATTTACAGCCCAAACAAATAAGAGTTTTTTTTTATCAAATAGATATGCAACTTGAGACAATCATCTTCACTTGAGGCACACACTGTCCAGATTACAGCAAAGTTCATCATTCATCAATTATGGTGGACTCATCTTCATCATGTGAAATAAAAATAGGGACTAGCTCATTACTTGAATGTTCAATGCATTGTAAATTCACAAGTTAAATATAGAAGGAAACAACAGTGGTACCATTTCTTCATCTTTTTCATCAAGACAAGTCATCAAAGCACCAACAAAAGATGAATGAGACCCTGCATGGATATAATATTCACAAATTAGTTTTACAACTTAAATAGAATGAAGACCACAGAAATTGCACTTACCTAACATGTCGTTATGAGACCATGCTTTCATACATATAAGTGCCTCAATCATTGATGGTGCAAGCCTACTATGATGTGGACTGATTATTCTCCCACTAGTGCTAAAGGCTGACTTGGAAGCCACCGTTGTCACGGGAATAGCAAGAACATCACATGCAATTTTTCGTAATGTTGGGTATTTGAGCCCTGCAACTTGCCACCACTATATGATATCCAAATCTTGTGTCCTAGGCAGCAGTGGCTCTTCCAAGTACAAATCCAACTCTGTTCGCACATAAGTGGAGGTCACAACTGGTATTTTGGACATCCAATCATCAAAAGTGTCCATCCAATCTTCATCGTCCCTCAAAGTAGGAGCTCTAGGTCTAGTTTCAGCACCATCTGTTGTGGCAACATCCTCAACAGTATCTTGATATTCCAAAACCAAATTATACAACAAGCCTTTCACTTTGTTGGAAGATTCCATAGCTACACTTTATGACCCATGAATTTTATGAAAAAGAGCATTCAACAGATGTAATTTAAACCTAGGATCCAGGACAGCAGCAACAGCCATCAAACCATGCACATCTGACCAATACTTGTTGAATTTCTCTTTCATTTTAATAGACATTTCTTCTATCTTAGGAATATCACTGCTTAGCCACTTCCTAATTGCCATAAAAATGTTGCATATTTTGGGAAAGAAAAGGTTGGCTGTCATATATTTAGTGCCTGATAGTACCTCAGTTACATCATAGAACATCTTCAACCTATCACAAAGCTCTCTAGCAAACTTCCAATCTTCTGTAGATGGAACACATGGAGCACGAGAAGCAAGACGCTCAAAAACATCTTGGTAAAGTAGTGCAGTGCTAAGCATAGTATAAGTAGAGTTCCATCTAGTTTTGCAATCAAGAGCAATTCTTTTTTCATATTTTTCTTTCATTTGTGCTGCCATTTTCTCAAACTTCTCATGTCTTTTAGGAGTTGCAGACCAATATGCAACACTATCACGCACTTTATCAATTCCCTTCTCCATGACACTCATTCCATCTTTTACAATCAAATTTAAAATATATGCAGCACAACGCATATGAATTATTTTTTCCTTCAACATACAAGAGCGGAGTGGTAACTTGCCTTCTATAGCAGCCTTATTCTTTGAAAGTTCATCACCATCGGTGCCGATCATAGTCTTCATGAGGTTATCATTGACACTAGCAATTGTCAAGAGTTATAGTGGACAGATTCCTCTCAATATGCCAATCTAGGAGAACTTCATGAAGAACCTCTGCTATAACCTCTGCTGTATGTGGTGCTGGAACATAAATAAACCTACAACAATAAAATATGTTAAGTGATTGTGCTGGACAGATTGGTCTCTATAGGCAAAATGCATGTTAAGTGATTGTACTGGACACAAAATGATGCAATTTATTGTTACCTAATAAGAAAACTTTTTAGCTTCCAATCATCATCAAGAAAATGGGCTGTAACTGCCATGTAACCTTTCCTCTGGTGGTTTGCTGTCCACAAGTCCGTAGTAACAGCAACATGAGAACTCAATTTCTTGATATAATTCACCATGGATTGCTTTTGAACTTGATACATATCAAAGATATCCTTCCTGATTGTGTTTCTAGACACTAGCTTGAATGTTGGTTGCAATGCAGCACAAAACTTTTAAATCCAGCGATGGTCCACCATGGAAAGAGGATACTCATGGACAATGATCATCAAAGCTAATTCTTTCCTAGCAACATCTTGATCAAACACATACTTCTCTAATGTGACTGAGCCATCCTTTGGATTTGCAGATAATTTAAGAGAAGACTGTGTTAAACCCTTTCTACAAGCTCTATCCTGACATATGGCTGTGTGATTCTTCAAATGAGTTGTACCATTTCTTGTTTCCCCACCTAAATCTCTCTTACACCATATGCATCTTGCTTTCCAAACCCCTTTTACATTAATCAAATCAAAGTCTTTCCATACTTCAGATCTTAACTTCCTCTTACTACCAACAGGGACATTATCTTCTACCTCTACCACATCAGTGTTACCTACAGTTGCAGAATCAGTTGTCGGTGCTGTTGAACCGGCTACGGCAGGCGGTGTTGCTGACTCGGATGCAAGACGAGGACGCCTTGGAGGACAAGAACCCACAGATTGAGATACAGCAGCAGCTTGAGATCCACTTGTATCACCAGGAGTCGACATTGCTCACCCTTCCTGACAAATGAAAAAGGAACATACATTATTACATGGTCACATGACAGATTGAGAAAATGGAACATACAGCAGCTTAAGATCTAGGGGAGGGATGTGCCGTCGTACCTGGCCTGTTGGATTCGTCGGCGAGGTCGGAACTCGGAAGGTCGGCAAGGCTGGCAAGGTCAGCGAGGACGCGGACTAGGGTCGCGGACTGATGAGGCGGCAAGGCCGGCGAGGGTGCCCGTCGAGGGCTCGCTGGCTCGGGGCGCCGGGTGGGAGCGGGCGTGCGGCCGCCCGCCGCCATGCAGGTCGAGACCGCCGCCGTGCGCCGGTGCCGCACTGCCGCGGTCCAGGCGACCAGCGTCCAGCGGTCCCGCGGTCGCACTCGCGGTCGCTGACGGCGGACTCGCCAGCGGCCCGTCGCGGACACGCGGACTCGTGGACTCGCGGTCTTTCGCAGTCACGCGATGCCGGCTGCGGTCTACGGACTCGCGGACGCCGGCTGCGGATGAGGGTCTGAGGGGTGAGGGTTCCTATTTCAGGCAATATATACTAGGGTTTCTTAGCTGGGCTTTTAGTGGGCTACATATTCGGGGCCCTGATGGAGTATCCACGGGTGAAAAATAGAGTCCGCCCCAAACCCGCAGAGTTTCGGGTATCCGAACCCGCAAATCCGTGGGCGAAAAATAGGCACCAAAACCAAGACCCGAGAACCCAAAACCCGCGGATATCCGCACCAAACCCGATCCGCTGCCATTTTTAGTCTTCGAACAACATGAGCCACGTGTTAGAGCGAAACACGTCAGCTTTGAGTTTTGAAACATGTTCAGCATTGTAATCATCAATTATTATTCTCTTTTCGTTTTCAAGGTCTGTTAGCACAGTGTGGTAAGCGTTCTCGATTGATAGGTTCTTTGTGAGTGCAGAGCTGCCCAAAAACTCTTTGGTTTCCCTATCACACGATTCTTTTGACCCAATATTGCCAATCTCTAGCCTGGTGATGAACGTGTCCCCATCGATCTGTGTCGTTTTCTCCGACTGTATAGTCAGCTTGAACTCCTTCGTAGCTAGAGCAAATAGCTCTTTCCTGCTCACCTGAAGAACTTTTGGAACATGGAAGCTTAGTAGGAAGAGCAGGTATCATCGTTAAAGAAGAAATGGGCTTGAGGTAGTTGGTGGAGGAAAGGGATGCAGGGTCTGGTACCTTTGGGAGTGGATCATCGTCCTCCATGAGCTCTAGATCCGAAAGGGCTTTTGTGGAGTCCACATGGATGAAGCAGCAAAGAAGTGGAGTGGGAGCTGGGAAGAAGAGGATGGAGTCTAGCGGCTGGGTATGTCTGGGCACTGCAGGTAGGAAGGGTAATAAGGTCTGTGCTATGACTGTGCTGTCGAGGAGAGATTGGCCTCTGCGGCTGGGTGATACTGTGGACCGGGGACCCACCGTGTGCATGCGCTGTCGAGCAGGAATTGGTCTGGGGAGTTGGGTGGTAAAGAAAATCCCTTGTGCATGTAGAAGCAGGATATGCTGAAACGGTCACAGCCACCCCTCGTGTAAACAAATTCACTAAGTATATTTTCCTGCGCAGCACTGCTGCTATGTAATATTAGTCCTGCCAATATATGCTAATCCAAAATGCCTGCGGTGAGTATTATTTCACATTTTCTTCACCACAATAGCAAGTAGGTTTTACTGGCATAAGTGGAACTGACCTGTATTTTGCAGTCTCAGTCAAGCAGCCGGTAGCAAGGGAACTGCTGTGTGGCAGGATGTCGACGCAGCAAGCCATCACTACGCCGATGATCGTGGATGGTGGCACGCGACATCATAAGCCAAAAAAACGATTCAAACCTGAAACCAAGGAGGATAAGCAGCGCTGTCAGTATGCAAAACAACACTGAACGACTCCTGCCACGCAATGGGAACGAAAGAACAACACTGAAAAACACCGCCATAGAGAAACAGACGAGCAAAAATTCACAGCTAGAAAAGCTACGAGAGCTCTGGTCCACTACATTGAGGGCTCTGTATAGCCAGCAAATTAGAGAAGGGTTTATAGTTTTCCAAAAATACATAAGGTCAGCCGCAAGTCTATTTCGCAGGACCATCAAAATATCAGGGTCTATAGTGTCCTGGTATCCATAACATTAGTCGCATCTCTAGCTCTCACACGATCATCAGTCTATGTAAGGTGTGACTGCAGGGTTGCTGCCGCCGCCTAGCAACACCAGTGCAGTAAGGCGCACACACAATACATACAAGGTAAAACACATCAATTGATAAACTAAGAAGTTCTTCATGCCTATACACCAATACATGTCCAGAGCATACATCATCAGGCGGTTGCTTCCTAACATGGAGGATAGGACAGCAGTAAAAGCAGGCAGAAGTCTTCTCTGGATGGTAAAAGGCAGTGACTCCATCCAGCCAAAAGATTTGAAGCGGCACGGGGTACCTATAAAGTAGGAAGCTCAGTCAATGGCCGAAAATGTTCTGTGCGTCACATGGATTCGTAGACAAGGAACTTGGCCTACTAAATGTAACTGAATCGTTAATTGAAAGGAAGGAACAGAAGGACTTAGGACCAACTGCTGGCACTCAAAGTATGTTCTTTGTGGCACAAGGAAGAATGCATAACTGGTGAAGCAAGTGAGTTTGCAATTCTAAATGGAAGACTGTCGCCACAGAACATTACATACTTAAAGCACCAAATGCGAAACGAACCTTATCTAGCCACTCTCCTGAGCCACAGAAGAAGCTCCACGAGACCTTTTCTTATCAGCATCATGGGTTTTGGTAGGCACAGCGCTGTACAAAGAGAAACAATATGCATACATGAGTATCGTCCACAACATTAGAGCAGTGAGGGCATCGTATACCTCTTGGTCACAGTATCAATGGAAGCGCCATCCAGTGAAGCAGCTGATGCGTTATCTTCCTGCGAATCTTTATCTGTCAAGCTCGCCTATAAAAGAAAACAGACGTGATCAGTGCATGAACATACTGTAAAAAAATGGTGGGCAGTGAGGCAAAGCAGAAAGGTTTACGGTCCCGCAGCGTGATGCTAGCTGTACCTGTCCAAGGTCATCAGAGCCATAGGTCAACCTCTTTCGAGAAGATGGGTTCCTGGTTTTAGCTGACTGATCTCTGCAAACAAACATCAGGTATGCATTGCTGTGAGGGAGCACACTGGCAGGTGTTCTTAAAGGAAGTGCATTACCCTGTTTTCTTCTCTGCTGGCGGCGTGTTGTCAATGCGAAGAGATGGAGGTGGGGTCTGCAACAAAGGGGAGATCTAACTGCATCAGACACCGACATGACTCCAAAGTGTAAAAACGATAGAGGCAACTTACATTTGTAGCCACCGGAGACGGAACGCCGCCGTCTGTCACAGAATTAGGTGTCACCAATTCTGATCCATCATCAGTGGCAGCAGTGAGGCTATGATCAGACTCAGGAGTACTGGGATGGGCACCATCTTCGTTCACAGGAGCATGAGGAATAGCATTTGGCTGACCACCATGTGATGTCACCACAGAAACAACCTGATAGGTTTTCTGCTGCCTGTAATAGCTCTGCTGAGTCAGAGAGACCTGAAAGGTGAATCTGAGAGAAACCATCTTGGTAACATCTGGTGGATATGTGTTAGCATTTGTAGCTGTTCTAAGGATTTGCTGGACTGGCTTCCCAATGATGCGACGTGCAACATCACCGAAGCATACCATCTCTGCCTCATCCGTGCCATAAAGGGCCACAAAGGAAATCTTGTACCTACATAAGATTAGGAGCACAACAGCTGGTCAGGTGTACAGACAGCACGGTAAAAGGTAAACAACTCAGCATGCGTCGAGTAGGTACTCACTTGAACCTGAAAGAGTTTGTCGAGCATCCATTACACCTGTAGCCAGAGCCATCTGGAACACAGCTCTTGCTGCATCTATTGCAAGATGGGAACCACCATGATACATTGGGAACAAGCCGACCAATAGTCACAGTGCGGCGGTACCCATTTTCCTACAACGTGTGACAGGGCGTTAATCAGTCGAGTAAAGCAACAACATCTGTAGTAAACAGCGGACTAAAAAGAACAAAGAATTTGTATCTTACAGCAAAATCATATGGATCCATCTCATTCAGTTCTCGTAGAGTTTTCTCTTCAAGAGGGGCAGGCGCTTGAACTTGACCTTGCTGCTCCACTGGTGCAGGAACAGACCTGATCTGAACTCTCTGGTTCTGATAACTGCAGAGTGGAAAAAACGATCAGGAACCGTGGTAAGTCTTTTTTTTACAGTTAAAGGGGTAGTCTGGATGAAGCAAGCAGGCTACATGTATGCATGAAAAGGCCGTACCTGTCATAAAACTGGCGGGCCTCATGAATAGGTGGGTTGAAATACCACCGGGACGCTGTATTGGCGCTAACATAGTAAGTACCTACATAAGTTTCAGCTACCGTCAGTACTTCCACTGAGCATGCAGAATGCACAAACAAACAGGAACAATAGAACGCAAGAGGTGTACAGAAACAGACTGGAAGAACACGTACCCTGATAGGATTTCATCAAGCCTCCAACAAACAACACGACAATAGGTTTATCCTCAGCACCATTGTTGACAGCATCAGTGTTGAAGGCAGCAGCCCCCTCTCCCCATAGGCTGACCTTCATCTCAGAGTAGCTGCAAATGCCGGCAAAGCGAGCACAGTGAGAAGAGTCGATGGTTAACAAAACTTCAACAGTGAACCAAGAGCGAAGAAACAGGCAGCACCTTAAATCTCTCAGAACAATGTGCCTGGTGAGTGTAGGGGCAGGTTTGTTGGGCAGGTGAACCGTGTAAGCATCAGACTTCTCCACCAGCAGCCCAGTGGTATCTGGAAACATGGTGGTGTTAGTTAAGAGCAAAAGCGACAGGAAGAACAGACGATGGACATGTAGTAGCGTACCAACAAAATCACTGGTGTCACCAGCATGGGAGGGCAGGTCACTTATTGGTGTAATCCCTTTAAGCATACTTTGGAAAGTCTGGCATATCAGTCCTTGCAGCTGAAACGACCGTGTGCAGCGTGAACTCAACCATATAGCGAGAGGCAACAGGCCTGTAATCAGACTTTGCATTTGACACCCTGAAACGACTGATAACATAGATGCCACCTTCTTCTATGAGAGGACTCTTTGCCACCACTTCAGAACCCGGAATCTCACCATACATGCGACTGCCCTGCAATAACCATGTACATAAGTATCTGCATGTATACAAAGCCAAATAGTAGTGGGGAAACAGGATTCTATGTATGCAGACAGTGAAAAGAATGACAATATAAACGAACCTTCTCATCAACAAGCACAAGGTCAACGTGCTGGATCAGGCCATCATCAGTTCCACCACGATACTCCCACTTGCGGCAGACGCGAACGCAGATGACCGAGCGCCATGCACGGGGGCGCAAAGCAGGAAGCAAGTCAAAAGCCATAGCACACCGCTGCACAATAAAACAGGAGAAAAATCGAGAATCGAAAGAGGAAGACGTGAGCGTTGACCCACGGGATCACCGGTACGGGTGAGTTAATCATTCACCAGCGTTACCGATCACGACTATCGTTGTCCGACCATATACTATGGCTAGAGGTAGAAGAAGGAGGAGAACAGAGCACACACACAACACAAGCACCAGCATTGGCCGGAAGCTCATGGCAAAACTGAACTCGCTCTCTTTACTGAGTTGCAGTGGCAAACTATATATATATAACTCTACTCATCTAATCCTAGTACAGCTGTCATGCTGCTACAGTGACTAGATGGGACAGCAGGGCTGACTCTGACGTCTGCCCCTGCTGTGGCTACAGTGCGGCAGGTGAGCCGTTCGACGCCTGCCCCTGTAGTGGCTACAGTACCACAACATGGTACCTTTTCGGCGCCGCTTTCCCCTGCCGTGTGTTCCCACAAAGAAGCATAAATTATTTAACAATTCTTTCCTTAATCCTACTGCTAACCCTTGAACCCTCACCATGCCGATCATCTCCTTCAGCTCCGTGAATCAAAGACGACCGAGCGGCTTGGTGAGGACGTCCATGAGTTGTCGACCATTTTCGACAAACTCGATGACGATCTGCCCCCCATCGACACAGTCCCTAAGGAAGTGGAACTTGACGTCGATGTGCTGGTTGTCCACCATCAATGCTGGTTGGTGAGTTTCCACACCGGTCAGCTCGCCCAGCAGCCGGCATCACATATTCTGCCTCGCACGTAGACAGCGCCACCACCTTCTGTTTCAGCGACAGCCATGAGATTGGGGCCAACCCGAGGAAAACAAGCACGCCAGAGGTGCTTCGCCGTCCGTCGATGTCCTCCACCATGTATGCATCGCTGAACACAGTGAGCTGCAGTCTACTTCTGTCGGTCTTGGGGAAAACGATTCCCTGATCCACCATCCCTTTGACGTAGCGCAGTAGCTGCTTCACCGCAGCCCAGTGATCCTCTCGAGTATCCTCCATGAAGCGACTGACGTAGCCCACGGCGAACGCAATGTCCGGCCTCGTGTGGACTAGGTAGCGCAGACCGCCGACGATGCTTCGGTAGAGTGTTGCATCTACCTTCGCCGCGGTACTGGCCTTTGTCAACTTCAGTTGCTCCTCCATCAGAGTCACGCACGACTTGCACTCAGCCATGCCTCTCCGCTCCAATAGCTTCGAGGCGTACACGCTCTGACCGAGCGTGAGTGCCTCCTTCGCCTGTCTCACCTCGATGCCGAGGTAGTAGGAGAGCGCGCTGAGATCGCTCATTCGAAAACGAGCCGCCATCTCGCGCTTGAAGCTGTAGATGTCCTCCTCACGTGCGCCGGTGATGATCAAGTCTTCCACATACATGCCGACAACGAGCTCCTCCTTCCCCGTCGCCACGTGTAGAGTGCGTGCTCGGTTGCGCGCCGTGTGAACCCAAGCTCGCCTAGCGTGGAGTCAAGCTTGGCGTTCCACGCTCGCGGGGCCTACCGTAGCCCGTAGAGCGCTTTGCGCAGTCGGAGCACCCTGTGCTCCGCTCCCTTGATGGCAAAACCCGGAGGTTGTCTGACGAGGACCGTCTCCACCAGCTCGCCGTTGAGAAAGACCGATTTTACGTCCAAGTGATGGACGCGCCAGTCCTTTGCTGCTGCCAAAGCTAGTAGCAAACGGACAGACTCCATGCGCGCTACCGGTGCAAAGACTTCCTCGAAGTCGATGCCCTCGTGCTAGACAAAGCCTTGGGCGATGAGGCGCGCCTTGTGCTTGACAATGGCGCCGTGCTCGTCCCGCTTGACCTTGTACACTCACTTTAGGCCGATCGGACGGCATCCTAGAGGTAGATCGATGAGCTCCCAAGTCACGTTTTCGTCGATCGCCTTCATCTCCTCCAGCATCGTCCATCGCCAGTGTGCATCGCACTCGGCTAGCGTGAACGTGGGTGGTTCCTCTGCACTGACAAGAAGCAGCTCTGGGTCATTGAGTAGCCGTCCCACCAGGCCTGAGGGCCCTGTGCCCCCGACGATGTCGTCCAGCCTGCGGAACCGCACCTCCTCACCTTCGTGGAAGGCATCCACGAACTCAGTGATGTCACTTGGAGGTGAGGCGAACTCGATCAACATTGATGGAGTTCTCTGTTCTGCCGGAGTGATCGGCACAGCACCTAGAGTACTCAGCACCCCAGATGTAGTGCTCGGCAGTACTCTCAGACTGCTTGTCACCACTCTTGGAGTGGTCGACACCCCTCCTGGAGTGCTTGGCACCAGTATTGTAGTGGTCGGCACCACTGCAAGACCCCTCGGCTTTGCTACGAGAGTGTTCGGCACCCATCCTAGAGTGGTCAACACCACTGCAGGACCTCTCAGCTCCACTCTTGGAGTGCTCGGCACCCCTCTTGGAGTGCTCGACATCCCTCTCGAAGTGCTCAGCATCCCTCCTGGAGTGCTCGGCACCTCCCCAGGAGTAGTCGGCTCTGTTGCTGGAGTGGTCGCCTCTACTCCAGCGTCTCCAGCACCGTGAATGACCAAGTGCTTGATGACGAAGGTGCTGATGAAGTCACCACCTTCCCCCGTGCTCGGACTGTTCTAGTCCCAGGCCGCCTTCTAGTCAAACACGACGTCGCGCGAGACAATCACCTTGCCTCCGCGTGGGTCATAGAGCCGGTACGCCTTGGTACCTTCCGCGTAGCCTAGGAGCACCATCGGTGTACTCCTATCCTCCAGCTTGGTGAGGACCGGCTTCATCTTCCTGACGTAGCCGATGTAGCCAAATGTCCAGAGGAAGGACACGCTCGGCTTGCGCCCATACCAAGCTTCGAACGACGTCTTGCCCTTCAGGGCCTTGATGGGCGTGCAGTTGAGGATGAACACCGCTGTGGTCACCGCCTCACTCCAGAACCTTGCCAGCATGCCCTTTGCCTTCATCATGGATTGGGCCATGCTGACCACCGTCTAATTCCGCCGCTCCACCACACCATTCTACTATGGCGAGTATGTCGTGGTGTGGTGTCGCACCACACCCTGATCCGCACAGTACATAGCGAACTCCACCGAAGTGAATTCGTCGCCACGATCAGTCCTTAGCACGCGCAGCTTCTTGCCGCTCTCAGCCTCCGTGCGTGCCTTAAATTTCTTGATCGCCGCCACCGCTTCGTCCTTGCTTGTCAGGAGTTGCAGCCACATATAGCGACTGCAATCATCCACGAGCAAGAGGAAGTACCGCCGACCACCATTTGTGGCTAGTGTGATTGGCCCACAGAGATCGCCGTGGATGAGCTCAAGAGCGTCCACCACGCAATACTTGGCCACCTTTGGGAACAACATCCTCCTTTGCTTCCCGGCTAGGTAGCTACCACACAGCTCGCCTGCGTGCTTGATGTGGGGCAGCCCTCGGACCATCTTCAATAGCTGACCAAACATGTCGAAGCTGAGATGGCTGAACCGGGCATGCCACAGCCATACTCCTTGCTGTGCCTCTCCTCCAGGCACACCGGTTGCTCCACCTTCAAGTCGAGCAGGTACAGCCGGTTCCAGGACCTTTTCACCTTGGCAAGAAGGCGCTGCTCCTGGTCCCTGATCCTAAGGACGTCATCCTTGATCAGTACCTCGCTACCGTGCTCATCTTGCTGGTCAATGCTGATGATGCTTGAACACAGCTGCGGGATGTAATATACATCCGTTAGTGCACGGTGCTCGCCGTTCTGGCACCTGAAGATGATGGTGCCGCGCCCTCAGATCGTCACCCTTGAGCCATCACCAAACTTCATCGTGCCGGTCACGTCGTCGTGGAGCTCAGAGAAGGCTGCCTTGGAGCCTGTCATCTGGTTGCTGGCGTCGGAGTCCAGGTACCACCACTGCTCCTGCTCGCCGCCCACATGTTCGAGGTGGACTTGGGCGCGTGGTTCGTCGAGGTAGACAGCTTTCAGAGCCTTCCTAGACCCTTCCACCGCCATCACCTCTCCCTTCTCCTTGGCCTCAATGTCGTGCAGTGCACAGAACGTCACCATCAGGATAGTGGCCTCATCATCATCATCAGCCTGCGCCAGATGAGCTTCGGCCTTCTTTTCTTGCTTACGATTTGGGCACTCCCTTGCCCAATGGCCCGTCTTCCCGTAGCGCCGGCAGGCGTTGAGGTCGACCTTCTTCTTCTTCTTCTCTGAAGAAGCCTTACCGTGATGCTTGCCATTGCCACCGCGGCTGGAGGAGGCTACCCCGGAGTTCTTCCGGGCAGCCCACTCCTCCTCTGTCAGCAGCAGCTTGCTGCTGTCCTTCGTTGTTGTGGCCTATGAAAGGATCAAGATGCCCAAGAGGGGGGTGAATTGGGCTAATTCTAAATTTCTTTGCAATAATTAAACCCTATAGTCAGCCCAATTAACTCCTTGTGCCTAGAAAGTGTTTCTAATGTTCTAACACACAAAAAATCTTGCAACCTAAGTTCCAATTCTACTCTAGCATGGCAATTCTATGAATGTAAAGACAAGAATTGAATTGCTTAAAGTAAATGCATAAAGTAAAGAGAGAAGGAGGAACGCGGCGATGTTTTTCTGAAGTATCGGAGAGTCGCCACTCTCCACTAGTCCTCGTTGGAGCACCCACGCAAGGGTGTAGCTCCCCTTGATCCGCGCAAGGATCAAGTGCTCTCTACGGGTTGATTCTTTGACACTCCGTCGCGGTGAATCACCCACAACCGCTCACAACTTGAGTTGGGTCATCCACAAGCTCTCCGGATGATCACCAAACTCTCAATCACCACCAAACTGTCTAGGTGATGGCGATCACCAAGAGTAACAAGCACGAACTCTCACTTGACCACGACAAGCCTAATGAGAAGGGTGGATGCACACTTTGCTACTCTTGCTTTCACTAATGAGGGCTCTCTTTGGGATTCTCAAATCTCAATCACCTCACTAGGACCTTGCTCTTCTTGGCACTCTCAAAGGTGTTTCTTAGCTGTTGGAATGAGCAAAAGTACCCCCACA